ATTATCTTTCCACAGGACAGGAATCATGCTATCACATTTTATTTCCTTCATGTTAGCCATCACTCTGCAAAGCAGAGTGGTTTATTAGTCTGGGTTATTGGTCCCATTTTAAAGAGAAGACAAACTTTGAAGGTCTTCAAGGAACATTCAGGGCAGAGGATGCACTTAGTTGTGGGCATGAGTTTGTCTGAACACCAGGGCCTGAACTTTTCAGCACTATGTGAACCTCTGCTTGAGTATGAACTTGTTAGTAGCAATTAAAAACAAAACAAAACAAAACAAAAAAAACCTTTCTCAAAGTCTGATTTAGGCCATAGGAATAAAGCTAACTGATCACTAATACATGCTGTGATATTGCTCATTAATTTATTCAGTTAAAGAATGTATTACATTTATTTATTGTATATATGTGAGAGAGTATATACATACATACGTATGTGCCATGATTTGTATATGGAGATCAGGAGACAACAGTAGGAGTTAGTTCTCCCATCATGAGGATCCTGAGGCCTGAACTCAAGCCATCAGCCTCAGCTGTACACACCTTTAAACTGAGCCATCTCATTGGCCCTCAATAAAGATTTTTTGAGAACCTTCTATTTAGTAACTATCTTCAGATTCTAAAAGATACAGATGAAAAGACATAGCCAGAAGGCTCCAGATTCATGGAAAATGAGCAAATATCCAGATACTTAGAACACAGGAGGATCAATGTCTTACCAAGTTGTAAAGATGTGACAGACAGACTTACAGGCAGTGAGAAGGGAAAACATCATTTTCTACAGAAGGAACCATGTACTTACAGATTTGCAAGAAGGACTGTCTTAGTATTCTATTGTGTGAAGAGACACCATGACCATGGCAACTTTTATAAAGGCAAACATTTAATTGGGGCTGGCTTACAGTTTCAGAGGTTTAATCCATTGCCATCATGGCAGGGGCCATGGCAGCACACAGGTAGACATGGTGCAGAGATGTCGCTGAGAGTTCTTCATTTGGATCCTGATCCACAGACAGCAGAAGAAAGAAACACTGGGCCTAGTTGAACTTTTGAAACACCAAAGCCCACCCTCGTGACACATTTCCTCCAATAAGGCCACACCTCCTAACTGTGTCAAGTAGTGCCACTTCCTGATAACCATGCATTCAAATCTGTGAGCCTATGGAGGCCATTCTTATTGAAACCACCACAAGGACTCTCCATCACAGTGGCATGAAACTGGCAGTATTTTAAGCACTCAGGCTGGAGTCTAAAGCTAAGTGTCTGACCACATCAAATCCTGGTTCTTCTCAACAGTCTTAGAACAGAAATCAGATCCACTGAGATAATGGTGTGTATTAAGTCTCAAACCAGGACAAAGGCTGAAATGCCCATTAACATATCAAAGCAGACTTGGCCTCCAAGTTCTCCTTGCATCCCTCAGTCTCTACCTGTTACAGAGCCCTGTAAAACACACACACACACACACACACACACACACACACACACACACACACACTTTTTTTTAAAAAAAGCATTTTGATGACTGATATTAGTGAATCAGTGCAATTCCAGATGTGATCTGTCTGGGGACACCATGAACTGTTATCAGCTGCTCATCTTGCACAATAACTGAATCATCACCTGAACATCTTTAAGAAATACTCCCCATCTAAACAAATCCATCTGATGGATGAGAAGGAAAGTCATTGCCCAAAGGTTATTTAGGATAGGGTAAAGTTGTTTAAAACTATTTTATCACAACCCTTTTAGCTAACATAGCACACTCATTGTCATTCAGTAACAGTTACATACCAGGAAACATCGTATTTCCTGGGACTACACAGATTTCTTAAAAAAAAAAAAAAAAAAAAGCATCATAGAAGTGCCTTTATTTAGTGCTTTAAAAGGAAAAAAAAAAGGAATAGAATGGTATGCAAGAAAATAGTAAGAAGGTCCTATATCAGATTTTGTAGGATCCAGCATTATTGGTTAAAAGGAAAAAACATTCTGAGCAGAGAAGATAAAATGTGTGACAAAAGCAGGAAGCTACTGTGGCTAGGTGGTGCTTTGGCAAAATAGCCCACCTGAAGAAAGAAACAGGACCAGAATGTTTTATAGGCAGACCTTAGAAAATTACATGAGTTCTGTGGGTCTCCAGATGGAGAAGACAGTGGCATAGACCAAGGTCTCAGCAGCAAAAATACAGTCTCCAACAGCTTAGAGATATATTTATGAGCTAAAAATGCAACTTGCTGATGACGTGAAAGGGGAAGGAAGAGCAATGTCTCAAAAGTAACAGATTCTGATCTGAGAAACAGCTGACTGGCATAAGTTCTCTGAATTGAAGAACAATACAAGCAGGGGTTGGAGGAGAGACAGAGGATGTGATGTTGGCCATTATGACAATTTTGTGACATCTACTTGGAGATTTAGACTGATGGATTGAGAGATAGACTTAGGTACACACAGCCAGATACTTTTTAATTGTTTTAGTCTTTGCTATTAAAATCAGTGCTTGTTATGAATGAATGCAAAAGGACACCATTTCAAACAGGTGAGTGTATTGGTGGGATATAATAATAATTGAATGAAAAAGCATATGCAGTTGTAATTTTGTTAGGTGGTATATGTTTTCTGTGTGTATGTCACTAGGTGTTGTAGATGAACATGATCTAAAATTACAACCTACCTAACAATGAACAGGGAGTGTCAGCCTTCCTCATGGTCCTACCACCACAAAATTCCCCTTCCCAGAAGCACCTACTGAAACAAACTTCTGATATGTTTCCAAATAATATTTTATGTATGTGAGTATTTATCATACAAAACATATGTTTCTCTAGAGGCACCTCTATATTAAAGATAGCTGGCTGTGCTTCATCACAGTCTAGCTCAGCATCTCTCCATGCTTTTGGGGGTTGAATGGCCTTTTTCTGGAGTCATCTAAGATCACAGATAGTTACATTATAATTCATAACAGGAGCAAAATTACACTTTGAAGTAGCAACAAAAATAAATTTATGGTTGGGGGGGTTACCTCAGCATGAGGAACTGTATTAAAGACTGGCAGCACTAGGAAGGTTGAGAATCATTGGAGCAGAGGAGGAGAAGGTATGTCGAGGGATGGATCATCCATCATTTAAGTTTTCCTCTTAGGAATAGGGATTCATTTTCTCATTCCTTAGGAGCTGTCGTCCATATGTCATGTTTAATACTATATAGTATGTTTTAATATATTCTATCTCATATATGTATGCTACATAGTATATATGTATTAGTCACTGTATATGATAGACTTCATGTAATATGTATGTATATAGTGAATATATAGATTCATTGTTTATAGATAGATGATAGATAGATGATAGACAAACTTGTAAGGTATCTCATTATGAAACAATGGTTTCATTAGAATTCACTGTGCTGCTTTCACTGTCAATAGAAGAGAAGCTATGAACCTAGGAACCTGCACTGTCCTAACCAACACGGTCATGCCGTGTTGAATGTTCCTGTTTACATTTTTTGCAGCCATCTGAGATTTTCTTTCAGCGTCCTCCTGATTGGCCTCAACATGCCAACTGCTT